TTCTCAAAATTGAAGATGAACAAGAGTCATCTCTTCCCCAATTTTCCCTGTCCAGTCGGTCCATACATTTAGGGACTATACAATTCAAATGGCATCTCTTTCCAAGAGTAAGGCAGTTTTTTGTTTTTCTTTCTCCCCTCAAATACATGTTATCTTCTGTGGTTTCAATTATTCTTGATCAGTTCTATCTGCAATATTGTTACTGACTTCACTTATTTCTGCCAATTCTTTCCTGTCTCCACTGATTCATGTTTTCTTTAAGTGGCTTGGAAATTTGCTCTTTGGCACTGAAGTGAATGAATCACCTTTAATCCAGCATGTGAATGGATATCTGAACATAGTCTCTGTTTCTATATTTGTGCTCTCAACAACTATTTCTATTTCATTGGTTCTATTTCATTGGTTATGATTTTAGCCCTTTTAAGCATTCTAATGTTTTTAGAAAATACAAAAAAAAAGGTAACCATAAAAGTCTATGCTTCTCTTGAGATAAGAATAAGAGATCAAGATTTCTATGAAAGAATGATTTAGGCCCCAAACTCTCCTGCCTGTTCACAAAGGACATTGACAAAATTGGCATTTATCATCAGAGGAAAGGATGCACGAAGTTTTTTGGATGGTATAGCTCTAACCCTACAGCCATGCAGTGCTCAACAGATCGCCTACTTCTGCTGCTTTTATCCACAGATTTCGAGTGAAAGGAAGTGCAAGTGACAGGGAGGTGGGATTTTCAGTCTTTTCTAGTTCAGGATGGAGGGAAGTGAGAAGATTTATGTGGCTTGTTCATGATTAGTCATTAAGGTGGAAGATGAAAGCACTGTTGGTCTGACTCATTTTGGGCTTCTCTGGTAAAATGGGAAATCAGCCCCCTGGGGCTGGTGGGACTCGCCCAGTCTCCAGTGGGGGTGGACATGACTTCTAAGGCCAGGAGTTGGCTCTATAATAACTTGACACATTTAATGAGTAGGACGTTCACCTTCCTCAGAGGGATTACCTATCGAGCTCTTGACTTCATTTTCCTATTGTTTGGTCACGTTTTTAAGACAACATAGAATTTCTGCATAAAGATAATGACCTATATTTTCCAGAACACCACTGAGTACACTGTGTGTATGTTTTCCTTAAAGTACTGGGTACCGATGCTGTAGAAAGGGCAGTTTCTTGTCAAGGTCAATACTGGAAAGAGAGTCACGCAGAGAAGATTCCTGTGTGTATAAAAGGCTTGGGACATGTTCTTCACCATCATCCAAGCCAATATTTAGGTTCATTAAATGTGACAGGCATAATCCAGAGCACTGACACCTTCCAAGGGGTGCCAGCATCATCGGCAAAATTCTCTGTGGCCCGAGGAAGATTTTGTCAGTTCTTATCCAACTGTCTACTGTTCACCATTGTCACTGCTGAGTAAAATCTTTTCCGGAACAAGCCCCCATTTTCACAGAAAACTGTCCATATTTATAAACTGGCTCTGATGAAGTAATTAGAAGTCTCTAAATGCACAGTATAGACGTCTCCCCACCTAAGCTTTAGTTTCTGACTCAGCCTGGACCACCTCAGTTGCACAGCTTTAGATAACAATGGAACCCACTGTCCTAAGTAAAACAGCTCCCCTGTGGTGTTAGTTACAGTGAAGACTATAAAGAAATAGTGGGATTCATTAGAGACGCAATGTCTCACTAAAAAACAACCTAGGTTTCTTCCAATTCCAGCCTCCCAAAACCTGCATTCAACTCTCAGGTTTGTGCTCAGAGCTGTGGACCTGGCCCAGCAATGTGACCTCTGCCATCAGCCCTCGGGACCATTTCTCTGGGGCAGGAGAACACCCCCCCTCTCCCTGGCACACAGCTTGGGAGGGAGGGGGTGGCCTGGCTGAGCACAAATGGATATTAATACAGGAGATGCTGGGCAGTAAAGAGAAATCATCGTAGATGATGACACAGCTCCCACACTGCAATGCTTACCTGCAGGAACTGGAAGGGAAAAGGACAACCATCTTTCTAATGAAGACGAGTTTACAGAAATGGATTTTGGGTGACCCCCCGCACCAAATTTGCACAACGCGGCAAAATCCAAATTATTTCTGAGAGGCAAGCACTTACTCTTGATACTATTGATGTTTCCTTCACATTCAGAACTTTTATTATAATCCAAATAAGTTTATTCCCAGCAGAAAAAGGGCAGGGCCATTGCCTCATCTTCTTTAGAGAAAAATAAAATAAAGTCAGAGACAGGTCTACTTAAGATATGGCAGCAGGGGAAGAGCCAGAGCTGACACAGTTTTTCAGGTGTTTGGAGGACATACCTACCTGGTTGAGCGGAACCCCTTGCTTTAAATAAAATGTTCCATGAATGGTTGATGACAATATTATGGACTTCCATAATATTAGGGGTCTCTCACAAAAATAAAAATTTAACCTCTTTTTGATCACAAATTGTTCTCTTGTATCTGGATTAGAAAAGTGTGTTGCACGTGCAATTCTTTGTCACTCAGACTCCAGACTCCTGAGGATCACATGACCCCTGGAAGTGTGGAGTCCCGATTACCAAATGGAGTTGAACTGAAAGTCCTTTTACTAAGTCCACATTTTCTCTTTCTTTTTCATTTGAGAAGAACATGAAGATGTCAGTATCGGAGCAGCAATGTGGTCTGGAAGCTGAGCGATCTGTCAGTAGCAAGGGTCTGCATCCCAGCTCTGCCCGCTTCCTAGCTATGTCTCCTGGGGCAAGTCACTCACTTCTCAGACCCCGGCTTCATCTTTGTCACACAGGAATAATGGTAGCAGCTACCCTGATTCAACAATAATACGTGATGTTTACAGACCACATACAATGCAGAACACTTTCTAGGTTTTATATACGATCATCTCATTTAATGCTCACACTATTAATGAGTTAATACTTAGTTAATAAAATAGTTAATACTATTTTAACAGTCATCATATCAAAATTTTTATTTGATCTTTGTTGTATGTCAACCACTATGCTAAGCATGTTGTATTTATTATATCAATTAATTCACACTGCAAGGGTCGTGTACAGCATGCCCCCGAGGTCAGAAAACCAGTGTTGGAATCACACTATCTCACTGGGCTGGGTGCTATGACTTTCATTCTGTACAGATAAGGAAACTGAGGCTTAGGGACCTGATGCTCATGTTTAAGCCGGAATTCCAACACAGATTCCCTGACCTCAGGGGTATGCTGTCACAACCCCCTGCAGTGTGAATTAATTGATATAATAAATACAACATGCTTAGCATACTGGCTGACATACAACAAAGATCGAATAAAAGTTTTGATACAATAACGGTTAAAATAGTATTAATGAGAATATTACGACCTGTTAAATCGCAGTGGTTCTCAACCTGTGGGTTGCGAGCCCTTTGGGGGTCGAATGACCTTTTCACAGGGGTCACCTAAGACCATCGGAAAACACATATTTCCAATGGTCTTAGGAACCAAGAAATGGTTCCTCTATCCGTCTCCAGGCGGGTCCGCCCACATGCAGATACAACATGAGGAACTGTATCAAAGGGTCGTGGCATTAGGAAGGTTGAGAACCACTGGTTTAGAAAAAAAGATGCCTCTTCATGAATGAGCAGCTAATAAAATCTCGGAAGAAACTGACATTCACTTATTTTTGTAGCCTCAGATTCCAGAACAGTACATCCAGCAGTGGCTCTGTGAATGTCTGTTCAATGATGAGTATCGACTCCACGTGGAGTCTCGGGTGTTACAGAGAACACCTGACTGAAGCCACGTCCCACTGGTCTAAGCAAAAACAAATCGGGAACAGAACCTATGTCCTCTTTCCCCTTCACATTTCTTATTGGCAAGGCCTCATAAGCCTATTATCTTAAGGCAATATAGAATACAAAGAATTTGTGTTATATTGTTGTCCTTCTCCAATAGTATTTACCAAGAAATAAGCTCCTTCCCAAATTGTGCTGAAGGCATATAAAGAAACGTAAGGGCCGCTCTCTCCTCAACCAGGTGAAAATCAGATGCTGCGAAGCCATAAGAAAGTCAAAGGTGATGAAATTCACTTCTAATTATATGTATTTTTATATTTTCAATTCAATATCACTAAATGAAATGAAATCTTACTCATTGATATTTAAATTATGTTATTTAAATTAATTTAAAATTCGAATCCAATATACATAAATAAAAAATAATGTCCCTATAGTATTTTGGTTCAGGATACTTTTAGAAAAGTTCATTCTTAGCTGTCATTCATTAAATGACTTCATTTTAGAAAGTTTATTAAAATCCTTATTTTAAAAATGACAAAACCTGAGTTCTAAAAGCTTCATGTGTTGTTCAAAATCACACAACAGATAAATGGCAGAACCATTTCAAGGACACACCCAGGCATCGGAAGAGAAATGTGGCCTTGGAGTGATGACATTTGGATACGACAAGAGAACAGACCAGCTTCGGCACAGTTCACACATTCAGAACTCAGTGGCATTATGTAATCACACATGTTAAATGCCCTTTATCTTTTAACCATTTTTTCCCTCAAGGACAAATTTTTTTTGAGATTGTTTCTATTTTTTAATTAAACACTAAAGCAAAAGAAACAGAGAAAGAAGGAAGAAGATAGAATTTAATTATAACCCTGTAACATAATTAGCCATTTTAAGCACATAAAAAAATATTTCTAAAGAATTCCTATCATTATGTTTAATATAACATAGATATTTGGAAAATAACGTATTGGTAAATGATTGCTGCTAAAATCCTGACTCTGCGCCGTCGGTCTTTCACATGTAACCGTCAAGCCTGCAGCTGGAGGGACGCCATTGTAAACTCGAGTGCGAGTGCCAACGTGAGCTCATCCAGGCTTCCCTGTGGCTGCTTTGAAAGGTGAGGTAATAAGCACCTGAGTTCCACAAGGATCTAATTGTTATACACTGGAGGACCGTCTCTCTGGAACTGCTGGTGTTGGTGACAGAGGGCAGGTCGAACAAAGACAAAATCATGATCAGTAATTACCTGGGCATGTAAAGGACTCTCTCGGCCACCACAAAACCCACCCTGAAGAAGAGGTTGCTGGCTGGAATGAATGGAAATACCAGGAACAACAGGCCCACTAACACTTCCTTGTGCTCCAGTCTCTGAAACACACAATAGTGAAGGACACATTAATTTCGGGTTAATTCCACTCCAGTTGGCATTTAACCATCTCTTTCATTTTCAAGTTCTCATGGAAGGAATGAATAGATTAGAACAATGAAAAACTTTTGATCAGTGTGCTAAATTCATCAGAAAAAGCCCTCAGGCTAACACCTAAGGCATGTCAAAATATTCACACATACCCAGAGCCAACAAACATTTGCCACCCAGGAACATCGGATATTTTCATAATACAACTGGTACCCATCACTCCTTGCTCTGGGCCAGCCCTACAGCAACCTTGTTTCTTGGTTCTGCCCCCTTTCAGAACTTTTACCCTCCCCCCTTCGCCCACAACTCATTTCCAGGGAGCAAAGTAACTAATATACTCAAGCTCACTAAGACATCATGGAAAATTATTCTTCTCTCAGAAATAGAATGGAAAAACATACACACACACACACCCCAATCCCACCAGGAGAAGCATAGCTTAGCATAAAGAAAATTAAATGCAAATGGTAAAATTTGGTACCAATGAGGCAGATCATTTGAGTTGAGGGGTTTTGGGCACCCCTCAAATTAAGTCAGTAAGAAAGTATTTTTTCTATGAAACTTTTTGGAATCAAAAGTCATTACAATAAAAACTCATTAACTAGACAAAACACCTTTCTGTAGTATTGTACATATTAATTTGTAAAGATTTTTCTGTCACTTATGATTCACAAAAAAAATTGTTTATTACTAATAAAATGTTGTGATGGACACTGTAAAAAGTAGTTTGTATTTCCATGAGTGCATATGGTATGAACACATTTGAAGAGAGACCTGTTTAAAACAAATCTTAATGTACTGGATAGTTGGGGTTTTTTTTTCCTTTTAACAAAAGTTTAAGAAAATATACTCTAAGAAGCCTGAAACACCAATCAGAAAGAATGTATGTACCCCTATGTTCATAGCAGCACTATTTACAATAGCTAAGATCGGGAAACAGCCCAAGTGTCCATCAGTAGACAAGTGAATAAAAAAGCTGTGGTACATATACACAATGGAGTACTATGCAGCTGTAAGAAAGAAAGATCTCTTATCCTTTGAGACAACATGGAGGGACCTGCAAAGTATTATCCTAAGTGAAACAAGCCAAGCAGCAAAAGACAAATATCGTATGATCTCACTGATTTGTGGAACATAATGAACATAACAATCTGAAGAACAGGGTAAACCCAGAGACGTGGAAGTAGGGTACAGACTGACAATCCCCAGAAAAGGGTGTGGGGGGGAGAGATAAACCACAGAACTTATATGCATGTACGCATAGCCGATGGACATGGACAACAAAGCTGGGGACAGGGCAGGGAGGGAGGGGAGGAGGGTATCAATGGGGGAAAAAGGAAAAACATCTATAACAAAATAAATTTTTAAAAAATCAAGTAGAACTTTCCATATTAGTTTTAAACATTTCTTATGAACATTTTAAATAGTCTATTACTTTTGATAATTGCAAAAAACTAAATAAAAGAAGTTAAAAAATATAAATAAGACTCCCTAATACAAGCTACTAATACTTTACATATACAAAATAAAAGATTTTAAACATCTTGAGATATTTGTCATCTGGATTTTATTAAAATCTTTGTTTTTTTTTACTGTAATATATAGGGTGATAAAATTTCTGATAGCAAGTCCACATGAACAAATGTGATTTGGACAATTTCCCTTAATAGTTAACAATCTGTAAGTAATGATCTCATTTTTTACCTAAAGGGAACCACACTCTAGAATTAAAAGGTAAAAGAAGTAGAAGGAAAAAAGCTTGCATGACAAGCATTCAACTAAAATGGATGCGATACTGTTGTATTTTCTGTGACCCACTAAAATCGATTTAAAAAAATGGGTGAGAAAAGTAGCAAGTTCATTATATTTAAGAGCTTCATGCTACCTTTGTAATTTAGATTATACTTTGAGTTTACAAAGTACATTTCAGTTCAAGAACTTAAAGATTATGTAATTTTAAAAAGAATAAACACCTTCATAAAAATCCTGTAAGATGAAGAGCAAGCATTTCTCACTAAATCCCAAAGAAGTGCAAATTGGTAGTTACGAAACATCCACAGGGATGTAAAGTACAGCACAGGGAATACAGTCAGTAATACTGTAATTATGTATGGTGCTAGGTGGGAACCAAAAATATAGGAGGGGATACTTTGTGAAGTATGATTGTTTACCACTATGTTACACACCTAAAACTAATACAAAATAATATTGAATGCAAACTGTAAATAAAAAATATATATTAAAAATAAATAGATGAATAAGTCCTAGAGAATGAGTGCCTTGTCCCGTTCCTCGTGGACTCTGTGCCTATCATTAAGTAGGGCGTTGATGTGCTCTTTTTAAGGTGCACTTTTATTTTTTAAAGATAGTTGAATACTTCTTTCAACTCTTTCAAGAGCTGAAAACTTTTTATAAAGGTGTTCCCCTATTTTCCTATAGAAATCTCTAAAGAAATCTCATACTCCCTATTTGTTAATTCTATAGAATTAAGAAGAATAAGGTATAAATAGACCTCCAACTGGGCTATTATCCATGTCTCTAGCTGGTGTTTTATCCAAAGAGGTGCCTCCCTGCCTTTCATTAAGGTTATTAAAGAACAGCCTTGATTGAGGCATCACTTTCAGACCCCCAATGTCACAACTTCTTACCTGAGCAAAGGTCACCTTCTTCACTATGATGGGCATATGTTACTCTACAGAACACTGAGTGCTTCAGCAGCCACTAGGTTGGGAGGGGGCGGGTGACAGGTGTTAGCAGAAGCCCAGCTCCATGCTGCCTCCCTCCTCTTTCCCCGAGCCCCTGTGGTGGGCAGGACCCCACTGCTGCTGGGGAAATGATGAGTTCTTCAGGCTCCAAGCACAGTCTTTATTTCCTTCATGGCAGTCATTCCCGTTGTAATGGCATGTTTATCTGTGTGCTTACTGCCGTTAACATCGCCACTAGACTAAGCTCTATGAGGGTAGGGAGCTGGTCAATTGTGTTCACTGGTACATGATTTGTGTTTAGCTCAGTGCCTGGCACTAAGTAGGTCCTCAAAAATATCTGTTGAATAAATCAATAAGTAAATAAATGTACCAGGCAAGAGAGAAAACTGGGTGTGAGAAGTGGAGAGCACAGAGAGGACTTCCTGGTAGAGGTGACAACCTGGGATTGAAAAATAAATGAATGCCTATATGATGCCTATACGACACATTTGATGGTGCTTCTGGGGAGGGGTCACAGCTAATCATTTCAGGAGCAGATACAGAATGTACAAAGCAGGGAATACAACTATACATGTTGGCGGTTTGCAAAGTATGAGGACTTTGTATGCCCTGCGTGGAGCTGACCTTTGCTTAAGGCCAACCAGAGCTACTAACAGGTCCAACATGTATGGAAAGAACAGCAAGTCAGTCAGTGTCCAGGAAATGGTGTCTGGATTCAAGTTGTGGTCCTGCCATCAGCACACCGTTAGTCACCTTGAGCAGGCACCTAACCTGTCCCATGCCTCAACTCTAAAATAAGACAAGTGAGCCTCAGGGCTGAGAGGGTCTAGAGTACCACAAGGGTTTCCTGATCAGCGGAAGTCCACTTTGTGAGCTGTGGGCCTGGAGGCCACCACTCCATACTGCTCCCAGAGGAGCTGGTCCTCAGGGTGTTTTCCTTTGTTTTCAAAATACTCAGTTGAAGACAGTGGCACTGCGCCCAAACTCAAGGAAGTTTAATTTTATTCTGAAAAAATATAATATTCCTAAAAAAATTCTTTATTCTCAAATTAAATTGATAATTATAGTCACTGTTTTCCCTCCTCCCCATTAGGTCAAGAGAAATAGAAAAGTCAAGAACATATTTCTTTAAGCTGTGAGCCAATCAGCCAAGCATAAAGTTAGGAAAAATTATGTCATGGACGTGTCTGAATTTCCTAGAATGACAAAGACTGGGAGGGAATCCAAGTTTGTATCCTGTGGACCACAGATGTGAGAAAATTGCCTAAGTAATTTACAGCGTATTTCAGCCTGATAGAGTCAGATGAAATGCAAACAAAACATGAGTGGGGGAAAAAGAGAAAATCGGCGGCATTTTCCAAAGTACACAAAAGTGCATTTCTAAGAAAAGAGGCAAATGGAGATTTAGTGATCCGAATTACAGCAGAGGGTGAAAAGACATGAGGCTTCAAAGAGCTAATTATTCAGTCATCCATAATACATGTTATCTGCTTAACTGATTAGCTGTGCAACTTCAGACCAATTAATTTACTTCTTTGAACTTTAATGATCAGTTAAACAAGAGCAAAGGTACTGATACCTGTTGTATTTGGAGGGGAAATGTGGGGGAGATTCACTATGATTTTCTTTTCTAGCTTAGAAGGATACAACGAAGCAACCTCCTGAGCTGTCAAGAGGTAAAAATCTCTTCACACCCTTCATAAGGTGCCCGAAGGGTCGCTCAGCCGGATCAGCACAGCCACGTATGTGAACAAGCAGCTCACGGTTTTCTTGGAACTGACAATTACCTCCAAGAAAATCCAGCTGCAGAATCCAAGTCTAGGCTGGTAGCTTGTGGTTTATGCCCTTTCCAATCTTACTCCCAGTTCACCTTTCAAAGCACTGGTCACAGATGCGGGGACACACATGCTCTGTGGCCAGCAGCATGTGGGTATGTGCTCACGAGAAGAGGATTCCTCCCTGTCCCGTTCAACAGAGACAGCACCCGCGGCAGGCTTTTTCCTTCCATAGAGCCAGAGAAAGGTCCGATTACAGTAATTATTATTATCATTACTATTACCATATTTTCTCTCACCTCGAAACGCATTCCAGCTCAATGGCACAGTGCATTTAGGGTGTGAGCATGTTCTCAGTTCTGCAGACAGTTCAGTTACACTTCAAGCCTAAGGACTTATTTGGCAGCTCTAGGCCCTAGCAGTCTACATCCTATTTATCCATCTTCAGGGAAGCTGATGACTGCAAAGCTC